TTGAACAGATAATATATTAACTGAAAGTAACTGGGAGTCAAAGATGATTTAAAGATATGCTTACCTGCTGATACTGACTCAACTCTCTCAATACAGTAAGTAAAATAGTTGTCCAGCCTTATAAGGCTCGGTACGTGTAACTGCTCAGCCGTAGTAGGCTCGCTCATGGGCGACCGGCCATATAGGCTCGGTATCTCGGCCATCCTGGGCTTGCTCATAAGCGCTCGGCCATACTAGGCTCGGTATCTCGGCCATTCTAGGATCGCTCATAGGTGCTCGGACACAGTAGGCTCGGTATATAACTTACCATCTGATTAAAGGTTTCCCAATAGGGGGCCTGCTAGGGGTGGGCATTCGGTATTTCGGTTCGGTATTTAAGAGTTTCGGTTCGGTATTTCCGTATTCGGTTTATCAATTGTGTATACCAAATATCATACCAAAATATTTCGGTACGGTTCGGTATTTCTTATTTTGGTTCGGTACGGTTTCGATTTAATAATCGCTGAATAATCAATGCTAACAGTGCACATGCACAATTGAAACTTTCACTGTGAAAGAATCTGTTCCGATATATAATAATAGTGCACATGCACAATTGAATAACTGAAAGCAAAAGCTGAACAAGTTCTTTACAATCTGCAGTTCTGCACGCCACTAAAGAGAATTTATGTTCTTACTAAAGAGAATCTAATACTGAATAACATTGTTGACACCAATGTTATATTTCTACTCCAAAATTGTTGACGCCAGTGCACTGCAAATGCTGCCTAACTCCAAAGTTGAAAGAATCAAATTGAATTTGTACACAACTACACATTACACAACTATATAATATATTAACATATCTGCAAATTCAACAGTGCAACAGATGCAGTAGTCTTAACAGAATTAACAATGCAACAGATGCAGCAAATGCAACAGAATTAACTTAACAGTGCAACAGTCTTAACACTTAATAGTTAACACTTAAACACAGTGCAACAAAAACAGTCTTAACACTTAAACACAGTGCAACTGGCCAACTGCAACAGTCTTAACACTTAAACATAGTGCAACAAAAACAGAGAGGGCATCCCTCAACAAAAACAGTCTTAATTCTTAAATACGGATTCCAGGAAGACGCGCAAGACAACGCTTAATATGCTTCCTTAAACCAGTTGTTCCATTCCTCTTTGGATTAACATTATAGACTTGACCACAATGCTTGCACTCTACTTTGCGAACTTCTCCATTATCTTCTCTCACCTCAAAGTGTTCCCAAACATTATAGACTTGACCACAATGCTTGAACCAGCATCACTTACTCTACTTGTATCTGCCATCTATACAAAATTAAACAAATATAAACACAAATTAACAATCAGCTAAAAGATCCTAACAGTAACACTAGCAGTTCTTTATGCTAACAATCAACATTCAACAGATGCTAAAAGATGCTATCCAAAATTAACATTCATCTTCATTTAAAAGATGCTAAAAGATGCTAACAATCAACAGAAATTACTACAGTTTCTACTTTCTTTCCATAGCATTAAACTTTGTTACATTCGAATATACATGGCCTAAAAATTCAAAAGCACATGCTATATAAAATTCTAATCAACTGTACTTTTCAAGTCCTTTGACTTTTCCATTCTTTCTTGATGAATCCAAACAGAGAAGCAAATTGTTAACAATATTACCTCTTCGAAAATTCAAAGAGACTGTCTTTCCTACAATATTCCAAACTGAAGAAACACATTACAGAATTTCTAAATACTTCTAGTACATCAATATAAACAGAGGAAATAAATTAAAACTCAACCAAATTCTTCATACAACTGCCATCAAGTTGCTAATCATAAAGCAGAAATTTTACATAATACAAATGTTAAAAAACACATTAACTCAGCAACAGTGAGAAGAGATTGTGCTTTCTATCAGTAATTTTTTCCCAGGTACAAGTTGGAAAAGAGATTATATTGTAGATATGGAGAACTGTTAAACATGTGAAAACATACCTTTGAAAATTGAAACTATCGCAAGTTCGAGGAGTGAGGAGTCGGAGCTCGGAAGTCGGAAGTCGTAAATTTCCAAGAAGTCGGAAATTGCCAAATGCCCAAATCGCCAAATCGCCGCTGAATCAACACTATACTGTACTCTAAAGTCTAAAGACTAAATTGCTAAAACTAAATGCTAATGCCCTAAGGGTTTGCCGTTTTGGCTGGGGGCTGCTGGGAATAAGGGTTTGCCGTTTGGGCTTGGGCGTTGGGGCTGAAGCGATGGGTTGGGGGTGGGAGATGGGCTGGCAGTAAGAAACTAAGAATTTAAAAAATGTCTTTTAAAAATCGGTATTTCGGTATACCGAAACACCGAAATTTCAGAATTTTAATATCGAGGACTGTACCGAAATACCGAAATTGCAATACCGAATTAGACCGAAATACCAAAAAAAACCGAAACCGAAATACCGAATTAATTCGGTCCGGTTCGGAATTCAGTTTTTTGGATTTTATGCCCACCCCTAGGGCCTGCCCACCGATTATAGCTCGGTGGTGGTGAAAGTAATACTATATATACATATATAGACACTGTGCTCTCTTGACTAAAAGAAGACAATACTTAACTTAATATAAAGTCCCGATAAGGGGGAATACTGTAACTTATGAGACTAGGATAATGTATATAAACTCAGGAATGCGAATTTCTCTTTATGGATCGTTATGAAACGTATGTAGTTACGGGATCATGTCAAAATGAAGGAAAGGTTTAGACTTAACATACCTTATCCATGAAGCTACAATTGTTGCACAAGTCCTCACACCTCTTACTGATGGTAATCTATATCAAAGGATTGGTATCATTATCGACTTCGTATTCTATAAGGAAGTTTATTTAGTCATTTTATCAAACAACTTATGTGTATACCTTCATAGGGTCATTTATAGTTCGAGTTCAACATGTTTTAGCACAATAATCTTCATCTTCACTTCTCCTCATCCCCACCATGCTATCCATACCTTTACAATTCTATTTGGTATCTTAAATCATGTAAAAACAACCCACCCAACATAGCTCAACTTTAAGTTTCATAGTTAATAGTTTCTTCAAGAATCTTCCAACAAAATTCAACCCAACACTTGTACAAACTTAAGATTAGGTTAGGGAAGATGAAACTTACCTCAAATATACCAAGAACTCTCCGTTATTTAACTTACTTCAATACCAAGTCACTTCATAAGTCGTCACAATGAGAAGGAAAGTGAGTTAACGGTAACCACAATATTCTTTACGTCGAACTTGTGTGGTTTATCTTTGGATTTTACTCTAGGATCATGGGGGAAATCTTGGAGATCATCTAGGAGTGTTTATGAACTGTTTTGGCCGAGAAAAATGAGTTAAAACTAACTTAAAGACGAGCTGCACTTTCCACTGACTTTGTGGGTCCCAAGGGAGCTGCTTGTGCAGTCTCGCGAAAACGTGAATATCTCTCTACTCCGACATCGTATCGACTAATGGTTTAGTGTGTTGGAAAATATATATGAGACCTTCAATTTCATAGGTGGATCAACCTGTAATTCTTATTATATTGAGAGAAAAGCTCTTCTACATTTGATCCAATTTTCAGCAAGACTTATGAACGTGACTTGTGACGACTTTCATCTACTTTTGTTCCATAACTCGTGTGACTTCAACACTTAATACAAGACTATCATACGACTAAAGTAACTCATAACATAACTTTATTCTCATGTTAAGCACCCTAGTCTCACCCCAAAAGTACTAGTTATAACATTCCTAACTTGTCGACTTTCGACGAAACTTATTTTCTTCAATTCGTTTAGCTTCTAAACCTTCCAACCCTCTTGGTACTTGTTGTCATGATCTTAAATATTTGTAACCTCCAAGGTAACATGATTAACCTACTTTATATACTTTCAAATATGATCTCATTTCCGAACATACATCAGGTGACTTACGACGTACTTTTAAGTATGAAAACATGGGATGTAACCATTTTATATTTTAGATGTATAAAGAAGAAAAATAAAGTTGTGATATACATTTTAATATAGACAAAGAAAGATAATAAAGTTGTGATATAAATTTTGATATATACATTATTATTATGATATACATTTATTGGCTACCTGATGCCAATGTCTATAACTAGGGCTTTTTTCTGCTAATTATATGTGTACGTTGTCATATGGGCATTTGCATCTATATCCAGTTTTGGGGTCACAATTTAACTTATACTCACTTTGCACAAAAAATTGTAAGCTTACCCACTATAGGATCAACTTCAGACTTATTGGGTCTGAAGTTTAAAAAAATTAGTCTAAAGTGCAATGGACTTAAGACCAATTAAGTCAAAAGTGTAAAAAATTGCGCTTAATATGTACTTAAGGCTAAATAGGTCTGAAGTGCAATAAATATTTCATCCACTTAAGGTCAAATAGATTTGAAGTGAAAAAATTGCACTTCAAATGCACTTAAAGCCAAATAAGTATGAAGTGCAACCAATGTTTTCATGCACTTAAGATCAAATAGGTCTGAAGTGCAAATTGCCCAGAAACAAAAATTTGTTCTTCGAATTTCAACAATCTGATATGCGATTTAACACCTAAATCTACTCCAAATAAGCTCAAATTTGAAATATAACCTCCAAATATCATTAAGAACAAACCCAATCATCAATTTGTCAAAATAAAAATAAATCTAATAAACCCATTTTGTAATTAAGAAGAAGAATAAGAAGAAACCCTGAGTAATAGTAAAAATTAAAGTGCCACAACAGTTCACTACCGTAAAATACTATAAACTACCTTAAAATATCCTCACAAATTCGATATGAATTTACCCTCACCTTTATTTTTACAGCGTAGAATAAGAAAGAAGAAGAAGGTTGTCTAAAATTTAAAGTACTAGTTAAATGGCGCACCATCTTATTAAATTTCATGGCACGTAAAGCTTGATTGGGTTGGGCTAGACTAGCCCATTCTGACATCATATCAGCGGCATAATGAAAAATATTCAATTTAGTAGTACTAGTAAAAGACTAAAAGTGTATTTGCCCTACGTCTGGTTGCCAAGAAGGTGGAAGACGAAGAAGATCAATCAGGTAATGCGTTTATATACGAATCTCGGAATTCTCAAATCGTTTCGTTTAGTGCAAATAACCTTAAAACCCAATTTTGGGGGGGGGGGGGGGTCTTAGTTTTGATGGTAGAAAAGAACGCTCTACAATTTGAAAGTGCTTTCCTTTTCGTATTAATTATATATCCGCAGTTTGTTCTCTGATGCCTTGTGTGTGATATTACTTCTGTTTTGAATTTTGCAGCAATTTGAATTCGGATCTTCACACATTAAAAGATGGTACGTTTAACATAATTGCTATAGATATTAGGGTTTTTATTTTTCATTAATATTGTTCTTTTGATTTGATTATGAAGCTGTGGAACGATTTATCCCTGCCTTGATTTTTTTTTTTTTCTGTCTCAGCTCCCACTCTCTCTGCTCAAGACTGCACAGGGGCATCCCATGGTATCTCTCTCTCCCTCTGTTTGTGGGGTGTGTGTGTGTTCATATCTGTGGTATATGTCTCTTAACTGCAGAAACAACAACTACTACTACTACTGTGCTTCAAGCCCAAACTTGTTGGGTTCACCTATATGCATCCTTGATATCTTTTTTTTTTCAAACATTGATACCTATTATGTTCTATTTGGACTCTTTTCATTCCAATGCCCAATAATGTGTCGTTTGGAAACACATTAGGGTTTTCTAGAATTTGCCCCCATGGCTTAAGTCAAGTGACAAAGTTTGAGGGACTTATGACTTAGGTCACAGGTTCGAGCCTTCCACCATGCAAACTAAGCCTAGTGCTTAAGTTGAAAAGGGCTGAGGCAATGTTGTCAAAGGCTCATTTAAAGCATGCTTAAGGCCTGAAGCTCAGAAAAGCTTGAGGAGAGTGCTTCGCGTTGCTTAAGCTGCGCTTCAGTGTAGGCAAGGCTCTAAGGCGTGGACACCTATTGTCCATGAGTTCTATCTTGAATTGAGCGGTACTAAACAACACAATTTAATCGCAAATAAGTGTATTATGCTTTAAGGAAAACGATATGAATGAATTTGTTAATTTTTTTTAAAATTATATATATATATATATATTTTTTTTTTTTCCATCGCTGCACCGTTTTTTTTATTGAAGCCCACACTTAAATTGCGTTTTGCGCTTAAAGCCGCAACAGACTTGGAATGCTTTTTAGAGCTTTTCGCCTCTCACACTGGGTAGAGGGACGGGGCCATCAGCTTTTTGAGGATTGGCCCAGACGTATTTCTCAGTATTTCTCAGCCATTATAAAAAAAAAGGGGGGGGGGGGCATTTCTAGAGGTTCGGCCAATTTCAGTCCTATCCCTACAATGACATATAGAAGAGGGCCCAGCATTTGGAAATGAAGGATGCAATGTTGCCTTTAACATACACTCTGAAATAGAAATAGAGTCTGGGTAGTAGCATGTATTCAATCAGTTTGATTATTGTTTAATTCGATTTGGTTTTCAATTGATTTTCGGTTAGTTTTGTTTCGATATATTCCTTGTTTGATTGGTAGATAGACGTTTTGATCATCCAAGTGAAATGAGTTCATGTTGATTATTTTGGTTCAATTTTCCAATTAGGAAAAGATGTACCGCCTATCAAAACAAAGAGTAAAAAATATTCCTTATGTGAGAAGTTGAGAATTTTGTCTAAGATATCAGTATTCATGCGTAGTTAATTGATTGATCAACAATGGTATGCATGTCTTTGAACTATCCAAAAACACAAATACTGAATTGTCATATCAAATATTCTTACCAATGTGACCACACTCATAATTCAAATTAATTACAGTCACAACTGCTCAATTCAATTCAATCCAATCAAATACTAATTTAATTCGATCTCAATACTAAATATTCAATTGTGTGAAGAAAGCATCATTCACAGGGAATAAACGAGGTGTTTATGTAAAGCATCATTGCAAGAAGTGTAGATGAGGATAGGGTATCAGCAAGGGGAGTGTCTGGAGTAAGAGGTATATAAAAGAAGAGAGGAAAAAAAAGGAAATCAAGCAACAATGATTCTATCTCATTGTGGATGTTTATGTTATGGGAAGTGGTAATTGGAATGGGAATAGGTGAGTGGTATTCAATAAAGAAAATTCTGAAAAGAACAAGGAAATGAAAAAAGGTGATGTGCGGAACATAAATTGAATTTTTTTTGTCATCCTGATTCAAATCCTCGGCGGGAGGGTGAGCAGAACTATAAGGATGAACGTTCAACCATGGCACCCATGGATATTTTGTGACATTGGATTCACACTTTTTCAATGTTATATGATTTTACAAAATAAGCGCTATTTTACATATAGGTTTCTGCCAGGGGCTATGGGTGCACAAGCACCCCCTCCTCTATGAATCCACTCTCAGTCCCTATTGGTATACAAATTTCTAACCAAACTTCAAAAACTCCGGGCAAACACCTGGCCTAGAATTGGTGTATTAGTTCAAGCAGTGAACAATCTTTCTAGTATTACTCCCTCGTCCCAATTTATGTGGCGCTGTTTGACTTGGCACAGAGTTGAAGAAAGAAAGGAAGAGTTTTGAAACTTGTGCTCTAAAACAAGCTTAAGGTATTTGTGTGCTATAAATCAGTTCAATAAAGGTAAATTGAAAATTTTCAAGTTAAACTGTTTCTAAATATAGAAATGTGACATTCTTTTTGGGACAAACAAAAAAGCAAGTGCCTCTTAGATTGGGACAGAGGGAGTATTTCATAATAACCTGAAATACTGAATAAATTGTTTATCCAAATTCAGAATTTTTGTCTTGTTGAAGTTGCTAATGGGATAAGGGATCAAGTAAAGTTCATCTTTCTATGTTCTTTTAAGCTTTGACTGGTTGCTTATGTAATAGCTGAATGAGAATAACTTTTCTTAAAAACTTTTTAGTTACTTCAATTTGCTATTGCATCTCCAACATGAATTTCAAGCCTCGATAATTCGATGTAACTGTGGAAGTTCAAAATAATCCATTGGTTCATTAGAGAATCCAAGTTTTTACCTTGTACTCTTAAACTTGTTTTAATCTGGAGATTTCTGCTTCGTCTTGCAGTTGGTGGAACTAAAAAATGGGGAAACGTATAATGGACATTTGGTCAACTGTGATACCTGGATGAATATCCATCTTCGTGAAGTTATCTGTACTTCAAAGGTAAGTTTATTAGTTTATGTGCTTGATCCTATTTATGTTATAGCTTCTTCTTTCTATGTCATAGCTAAAGTTTCTTATGTAGTGCAGTAATGCCTGATTTTAAAAAGGAATGCAGGATGGAGATAGATTTTGGAGAATGCCAGAATGTTACGTTCGTGGGAATACAATAAAATACCTTCGAGTACCTGATGAGGTTTGATTGTTTCTTGAATTCCAACGATATGCCTTGGCCTACTATTATTCCGATTCTACACATTGTGCTATTTACAGGGTAAATATAACTGACTTATCCCTTAAAGAAAAAAAGAAGTGAATATTGCAATTTGACTTGGGAACAAAGGCAAAGAATTTGGTTATATTGTAGTAATAAGTGCAGGTAACTGTTATTTTTTATTGGAATAAATATTAAAACTGTTATTGGTCATTGCTCGACTCCCCGCCGAAAATGTTCGGTGAGATGCCCCATCTTCTTTGTGGTTGCTTCTCGTTGTGAATTGAGTTGTTTGAACTCCACACGTGGCAACGTATTGGCTTTTAGGTACTTGATGAGTATTATTCTGATATAATACCTCCTCCTCTTTTATTGCTTGCTTTTGTGCTGTAAGTTGTTTGAACTACCAACATGGAAACCTATTGGCCTTACATGTTCCGCATGGTTTGAGGGGCTGTAGTTTCGTACACTGTAATGAAGTCCTGATACTAGCTAGTCTTGATGCAATTGGACTTAAGGGAGCTAAAACTTATCTTTAGGTTTATGGGTTGCTGTCTTTAGAATATAGGAAAGAAATAAAAAGTAAAGGGCTGAGATTTTGAGGTTGATTTAGGCTCACTATTTATTTTCTTTACAGTGTACCAGAGCCAGATCCATCCCTACTCTTTGTTTATCAAATGTTGGGCCCCATATTATACTTTTCATGCTCTAGATGTCCAGCTCTCGGCCTACAAAGGAGGGGTTCTTTGAATGTCCTGCATTGGTTGAGAGGATGAGTTGTTGTCTCCTTATATAGATTTCAGAAATCCTAACATCAAGAGCTATCTTTTGGAGATGAGTTAGGTTCAATGTCCATTTTTGCAATATGGTATCAGAGGAGGCACAAGTCCTAGGTTCAAGTCTCTCCGCCACCTATTGTCAAAAAGATTTTCACGTGTTTGGCTCATGAAAAAGAATCAGGCTCATACCTGAGGCGGTATGTTGAAGATATAATGAAGTAAATAAAAGCGTATCCTCTCTAACACTCTAACTGCTCAAGTTTTTATAGTCACATAATTCAACATTAACTTGCTAGCAGTCTTAGCATATAGAATCAGAGTCTTCCTTAGTTTACTAACTTTAAATGCTAATCTAAATTGCCATCCAAAGAACTTTAAGCAATAATAGGGTTTGAAACTTCATCCTGGGACTTATCAAGTGAAATGTGATATCACTCATTATGGATTTCCACATTCAAAAAGTTGTTTCTACCTATAGATGTTGTAAATGATTTCTTGTGATGAAATTAATTGCTGATTGGATCATGAAGTTTGTTCTTTTTCCAACATTATCGCCTTGTGGTAATATCGTAGTATTGAACCATTGTTGACATAGATACTATTGCTTGACGTAGTAATTAATTATGATTTGTTTCCACGTTAATATCAAAGGACATTTTGGTATGGAGGAAGTTTGAATATTATGGTTGGATGCAACTTAGTCTAGTTAGATGAAGTGTTATTAAAAGCCATCATATCGTCGCTTAAAGTGACGAAGTGATGCAAAGCGAGGGGTTATTGCTTCATAGGTGAAGCCTTGCACTTTGTAGTAGTGTGTGCTTCAAACAATGATGTGCAAATAATCTCAATGTGAAGCGGCAGGTTCGTTGAACTGAACTTTGAAGAGCTGGATTATATCATTCTTATTGTACATTGGGTACTGAAATTAGTTATTTTAACTGCAATTTTGATCATTGTAATACTAAATTCATATATGTTTGATATTCATTTATGTCGTTAGTTGTCTTATTCACTTCAAAGAAGCGAGTGTTATGCTACTTGCTTTTAACTTCAAGCTCCATGGACCTTATGAAAAAACTTGTCATCTCTTTGCACGTTTCACTTTTAAAACTGTGGTCTGTTGAGACTTCTTAGGTAGAAATGCAACTTTCTGAAGATGACTTCAGAGATTGGTTCACTTCTGACCATATTTGTGAAATTCATCAACTTGCAGTTCTGTTAAACAAAATAGTTGGGCTTAGCATGCTTTCTCATTTAGATGTTCTTTTACAGCGTGTTTTTGTTGACATCAAAAACTTATTGGATCAAGTCCATATAAAATTTGGGCTAAATCCTAAAGTCAAGATGCATTGACCTAAGTCAACATTTTTGGTAATTAATTTGATTTACTTTTTTAAGTCCAAATTATGACTTAAGTCAAATCCAACTACAGTTGGGTGAGGCCACTAAGTTAAGGAGGCGGCGGTTCAATTGAATTCTCTTTGAAAAATGGTGCTGCGCAAGTAGGGCAAAAACAAATTCCTGTGGTTATTTATAAATGGTTGAATCCCCTTGACATAAGGAAAGATTCTAGTGTAGTGGTAAAGGGATTAAAATTGTTATAGGTCATAGGTTCAAATCCTTTGTTTGAGACTATAGTATTTTCTTGAATCCCCTTGTATAAAATTGTAAATGTTTGAACCATTTTATTTGCTGGAGTAGCGGTTTGATTTCCTTCCACAAGAAGGGGGAAAACATTCACTGGATTTTAGTTATGGTTTAGCATCTGGTTGAACTCCACACGTGATCTAGAAACTATGTAGTTATGTGGTGTCCTTGTCTCTCTTTTTTACTCTGTTAATTTTCTACTTTCTCTGTGTTTGGGTTGTAAACTGCGCTATGTGTATTTCTTCCAGGTGATTGATAAGGTTCAGGAGGAGGCAAAAAGCCGTACAGGTACTATTTTAGATATTATTGCTTTATGGAAGAGTTTTGACCTCTTTTATTTGAGCTTTTGTCATCATGGTTATTCTTGATATGCATTAGAACTGGTGTCCCGATATATAGCTTAACTACTTCGTAGATTAACTGTTCTAACTGTCAGGCGTTTCCCTACTTCACCATCATGATAAACTAGAGCTTGTCCATTATGTTTTGATCATCATGGCATGCAATTTGGCAGCATGTATGCTTTTTACAATGGAATGTCATAGAATGGCCTTTCTTCTCTAAGTGCTTCCCACCAAAACATATTCATGAACTGCACTGATCTTTTATGTAATACCATTGAATGTAATGTCTTTTATTTTGCACCACTGGTGATGACATGTCTTCTATTATGAATGGAAGGTATTCTATTATAGTGTTAGAGAAAGAAAATTTTGGTCTCCTTATAATATTCCTTATGGTTTGTGGATATTGGTTATTCATAATTATTCAGTAACTTGCAAGCTATACGCCACTGGATTACAGCTTTACTCATTTTGTATCTACAAGTTATATTAACTCCGTGAAGAAGTTTTTGTTAAGACCTTGGGATATTTGACATCAAATTAAGTACCAACACGTGAAAAATTGAACTGGTATTTGCCCAATGATGACATGCATTTTCTCCCTGGTGATTAATACCTGAAAGTACTATATGTTAATGGTTTTGCAGATAGAAAACCGCCTGGTGTAGGACGTGGAAGGGGAAGAGGAGGTAGAGATGACAGTGCTGCGGGGAGACAAGGAAAAGGATATGGGCGTGGGATGGATGATGGAGGTGCCAAAGGCCGGGGCAAAGGAGGACCTAGTGCCAAGTCTGGTGGCAGAGGTATGACTAAATGAAGCGACTAAAAGTTAATTCCTGTTCCGTTAATTACCCTTAGAACATGATGATATTTAGTGGTGACAATAATATCCAAACCCAGGAGTCCACACATTATGGGTTTAAGTAGTAAGAAAATGGGTATCAAATTTTTGCTTGTGGGTATCAAAAAGCACATTTTATTGTTTGCTATAACCCTTGGGTTCCCAAGAATCCATGTAAGACGTCTCTTTGTTCTCATAACCAGCCAACCATATCTTGTTTTTCCTTCCATTATTTTAAACCCATTTTTCATTTTCCTTCCATTGTTTTAATTTTTAAAACCACCTTCTCCTTTTCTCGTAATTGGTTTAGACTCATTCTCTTTGCTACCTTTTTAATTATTTGGATGATCTTTGCTATTGGAGAAGAACATCTCTTATTTTTATAAGATTCAAACTTTTATCTTACACAATAGCAAATCAGTTTAAATTCTAATATAAACATCGTCGAATCAAGAAGTCAAGCTGAAAAGTGAAAGAAAAAACACATTGTCATTGAGTTATGACAAAAGACAAAGTTGAATAATTAAGAAAAGGAGATTACTTTACACAAGCAAAACTTGTTTGTTTTAAATAAAAAATTAATTTCTTAGAATTTGACATGTACTCTGAAAGTGAAAATATTTTTGGTTAACTTAGTTGGCGTTTGGACATAAAAATCTTATTTTTGGAAAAAATTAGTTTTTGGAGTTAAGTTGAAAAAAGGTATTTAGAATTTGAAGTGGTGTTTGGACATGCATTTCACTTGAAAAAATATTTTAGTTTTGTAAGGGAAAATGAAATTTTACATGAGAAGTGGTAAAACCCACTTTTTCAAACTTGGAAACTCATCTTCAAAAAAATTGTCAACAATTCAGTCAAATGTATAACCAACCAAGTGTTGAAAAAATAAAATTCGAAAAAAAGGAAAAATTGTGTGTGGACAATTGGGTCCTTAGTTTTAAACCCTAATATACATTATGTGCACTTTGATGCTTAAAAAAAGGATATTCCTTTCTCACCAATCACGTGTAAAATTGGGCTGTATTATACTTGGCAAATATGTCGTTCTTATGACGAAGTCATCAGAGTATTCCAGGTAAGATATAAGTTTGCATTTTATGCCTAAATCGTTGCACACTAACATGACACCTATTACAAGAGGTTTCAGGTGGATTTTGATGACTTCATTTGGGACTGAATCCTTCTAGGTTTACACAAAATGGGTTGATTGAATATGCAGCCAATTTTATAAGAAGCCATTAGAGTTCATTCACAGCCAACCAAATCCACCCATGTGCCAATACTTGATTTCACAGTTTTTTGAAATATGTTAAGCACAGATCTCTCTCTAGTACTTTCAAAATTAGCCCGAGCTCATTTCAGGATTGACTGTTATATCAATAAACAAGCTTCATGTTCAAGAAATTTCTATTAGTCACCAAGTAAACAAAGACTGCCTATTTTTTTTAATGTCATTGATGAATCTGGGTTGGATTTCTCATATAGGTGGAGGTCGCGGACGTGGCTAATAATCTTTCATCGAGAGACCAGGAAGCCAGGTGACAATTGCCACCTTTTAAGGCATACTATATGTATTTTGTTTGTCACCTAATTCTAAGGCACTTGAAGGATGAGAGGCCACTTCCAGTTATTCTTAGTTTGAAAGTAATGTATTTAGGCTTGAGCTGATCATTTCGTTTGACCATTACTTTACAATTGTGAAAAAACTGTCTGCAAGTTCGTGTTATATTTATGAAATCCCAGATTTAAAGACTTTCCGCAGTCCAAGGCAAGAGTGCTACTAACTCTCTTTGACTCCATGATCAGATTGGAGTTGGTGCTGCACTCTGTGTCTGTTTACTATGAAATGCAGACAAAGAAAGGGATTCTGTCATCCTACCATTGGATCTAGTTCAGGACACTCTCGGACTCATACTAAAACAGACTGTTGTACAGACATCTGGATTTAATAGTTCCTCGTGTCTGCGTGATGTTTATACTCGCTTAGACTCTCCTGGTACTGCTGCTCGAGCTATTTGTTCTTTTATACCTGTTAGTTGATAACTGATGAATGATGTCAGATAATGGTTCGAGTTATAGTGAGGTTAATTTGCACATCTCGCAATAGTCATATTACTCTATATGAGGGACAAATTAATTTTGGGGTTGGTGCAAGTTCATAGTTCACCTTGCTTTAAAAATCATACAGGGTCTTGCCAAAAGTTTGGTTTCATCTTCATATTCTTTAATTTGTTACTCAACAAATCCTTAAAAACAATTATGTAGTTCAGGTCACGAGCAACAAAGTATCTTATTTTCAGTGTGAAATTTTGACCGCTACTTGCTCAATCTTTTTGAAAAATGACATACATGTTTGGAATTTAAATAAAAAGTACTTAATTAAATGCAGTTTGGAATATTTACATACATTTACCAATGATGTTCAAAGATGGTAGCTAAGGATTTTTTAAAGTCTCTCTAAAGAGAAAAGAATCACATTTATCTTCCGTCATACTTTTCGTATAGAAATACTCCAATATTAGCTAAGTGACTTAGATATATGATATTCTACGTGGCACTGGCATTTGATGAGGTGGATATCGCGTGGCATGCTATCTTGTTGCCCCAACTCATTGTGTCCCATCCCCTTGCGCTTCTTCCACACAGTGCACTCACACACACGCTGCACACATTGCACTCGCCTAATTCAATTTTCACGGATAAACGCACAAATTAACATATATTACACTCTGATAAAAACGTTGTTCATCACTAATTTTCACAATATGGTCACAAAACATTTTCCTCCATAGCTAATTAGCACCACCAAGCTTCATGCTCTACTAATCTGGTCACGCCTAACTATGCCTTATAAAAAGGATTAAGCGGTCATTGCAAATATATCCGGTTTACAAGTCCGGAGTCGAACCCCACAGAGAACTAAGGTTTAGCTACAGTTGTTCAATATCAATAAGAAATACAAGTCCAAACAATTTCCTAATTATAAAGATTATAATGTTATTTTTATCTAATTAACTAACAAACACTAGAAAGCAGTAAAACTATCAATTAACAAGGATAAGGGTTGGAGAAAAGATTAAGGAGGTCTAAAGTTATGATTTTCGTATTGTCGGAATCCTTTCCGCTACGTATTTTATAAATTTGCCTAAGTCTTCTCTATCGATCTTGAGCGCTCTGAGTGTTGTAATTCTCTCCCAAGTAACTACCACAATTTACTAGACATATTCTCCTGAATTACGCTAGCTGGCATTAAGTATGGCTCACTCGGTTCGCACCAAGGTTTTGTTATCCCTAATCCCACCTTTAAACCCTCCGTATTGATCCCTCATATACGTTAGGAGTGATGTTGTTCAACAACTACCTAAATATGCACTCTCTCCCGAGTAATACACACTAAATAGGCACAGTCGATTGAGAGCTCTTCAACCAACCACAATATAAACGTAGTTGAACAAATAGAGAAAAAGCTACAGCAAATCAATATCAACGTAACAGGAAAATCATCCTCCAATAGGTTCCATCAAAACCCTTGATAACAAATTAGCTATTCATAATAGTATGCATAACTAGAATACTAGAATTCATTACCAATAAATGAAAAATAGGAAGAAGGAAGTGAAAAACTCGTAGAAAATTCTCCGCGTTGCTCCTAGTGTATTCTTGCCTCCTTATGTCGAATCTCCGGTCTAGTGTCGGTCTCTCTGTCCAATCTCGGTTTGTCTCCCCTCAAAGTGGCGTTTTTAGGAAGAATTTATATGTGTAGGAAAAGACCTAAACGTGTAGGTCAAGTCCTAGTCAAACCAGGAGACGAAATAAATCTTCAAAACTTAGATCTTGCCCTAGGCCTGGCGTCGCCAGGCATAACGCCTGGTGGAGCTGGCCTTTGCCTGGCCTCGCCAGGTCTAACGCCTGGTTAAGCTGGCCTTTGCCTGGCCTCGCCAGGTATAAAGCCTACTTAAGGCCTGGTGCCACCAGCTTTCTCATTTTCACTGTTCTCGAGCACGCTTTCAACGTTTAAGTATCCCATTTGCTCTACCTTCATCTTCAATTCACCTACACATAAAATAGACTCCATTACGCGCAAATAAAGTGTAATTTATCATTAAAGCATACAAAATGCAAGGCAAACAATGTACGAAACTATGAAATTATAGCCACACAATACCCCACACTTAAACATTGCTCGTCCTCGAGCAATCAAACTACACGTATAGACACAACCTTGAGCACATTATTTTTACAAAATTGAGGCACATCGCACCAATGACCATGTTTTATAGCAACAATTAAACTCTAGCATATGCAATCACATACACTTCCCTTTTCTTATGCCATACTTAACGAATATTCACAACAATGACAACATGCTCCTAACAATCCTAGCCTCAAAAACCAACTCAATGTCACAATGCACTCTTGGCTTGAACACCTGTCACGGCTCCGGTTCGCCCTCCGTGAACCATCGTGACGGCACCTAGTCTCTATGACTAGGTAAGCCTAACAATGCGGAATATAAACAATAATTGTGGAAGAAATAACTAAAACCGGAATAATAAAAATAAACAGTGTTTAAGGTGCCGCTCGGCACATACTATAACAAATCTCGAAGCTAAAAGAATTCCCAAAACCCGGATTCTCACAAATCACAAGCTATGAGATACCTAAGAAGCTCTAACTCCGGAAATATCTAAACAAGGGATAATACTGAAAGGGCTATACTTATTACAGAAGATAGAAAGGGACTCCTCGGTCTGCGGACGTAGCAGATATACCTCGAAGTCTCTACAGAACGCCTCCTCCCAAGGGTGATAGAACTGAGTGGAAAATACCTGGATCTGCACAACAAAAATATGCAGAAGAGTAGTATGAGCACACCACAGCGGTGCCCAGTAAGTATCAAGACTAACCTCGGTGGAGTAGTGACGAGGAACAGTCGAGACACCTACCGGTCTAATAAATAGTGCAAAGGTAGGAACAACGGAACATGATATATATTTATATAAAGACTGTACGAAATGACCAACAATGCTACAATAACAATAAGGGAAAAGAACAACATGTAACAACGAAAATATTAAGAATGATGACACATGAGAATGGGCAAAAACTCATCCCAAATCCTAAAGTCACAATACAGTAAAGGGAAAACAAAACAATAACTCAGATCCTACGACGATGTTCAAATCAGGTCTTATCCAACAACTACCACGAATTACCGAATCTCGGACAATTACAACTCACAAGTCCTAGTACCTGAAATCTAACCACTAGCATCCCGTGCCCTCATCAGCCTCACGGTCACACTGACAACTCAACTCACAACTCCCATGAGACAAAGTTCATATAGGTAAACGTACCGCAATCACAACATTTGAACAAAACAAAAATGCCCTCAGGCCATCACAAATACTCACAATCAACCCCTGACATAGCCCACCTTGTTCCGCCACGTAGCAAATAATAACATAATAAGTGCCCGCCTTGTTTCGCCACACGTGCATCATAATGTTCCCACCTTATTTCGCCACATGCGCAACCCACATATAAGCATAAATACATATCCCGCCTTATTACGCCGCATGTGCAATATATCAATAGCAGCAATAGCACTGCAGAAACCTCGTGTGACCCCACAACAACAACCGCACGGTAGAAACCTCGTGCATCACAATATCAACAACCGCACGACAGAAATCTCGTGCATCAACACCCCAAGTACAACCGCAACAATAATAGTATATACAAGACCACAACAAGTGAATCAACTCGAAAATCTTTCGTTCACCAGGGGACGGTAAAACTAGCTCACAAGGAATAACCACAATAGGGAATACTAAACGTAATAAGAACAACTCAACAAGGGAGAAAATAATATGAAGCAACGACCCCATAGGATGTAGTTCAAAAATAAGGGAGTTAACACGAGTCAAGTAAATTTCAAATAAGGAAATATCAACTAAACATAGAATATCTACTCTTCTTTTAATGGTTGGGCAGGTTACGAAGGATATAAAACAATTTCAATTAAGACTAAACAAATACATGGGTGATAATAATGATTTCCAATAAAAAAAAGCAGTTATGAAAGATAACGCGACAATAGAGGAAAGATGTTCAGTTAAGCAATAAGAAGAGTCAATTAGGCAATAAGAATGAACCATAAAGCAGTTAATTCCAATTAGAACATGTAGAGGTAAAAACTAGTAATCGGGAATTCCATCATATAAAGAACAATTTCATACTCAGTGAATATAAGGACCTAAGAATCCTAAAAGGCCAAGTTTCCACAGATAAGTCTGAGCACGCACTCGTCACCTCGCGTACTCAGATTATAATCAACAGAGAAGACTCAAATCCTAAGGGGAAGTCCCCCACACAAGGTTAGCCAAGATACTTACCTCGAACCGGCTCAAAATCAACTAGAAACCACGTTCTTGCCACGAGTACTCGACTCCAAATGGCCCAAATCTATTCAATTCAAGTTCGTAATGTAAATAACACTTCAAGTGATTGATTCTACAATTAAATTCTAAGCTAGTACGCGGAATTGTGTAAAATGACCAAAACGTCCCTCGGGCCCATGCCTTGGAATCGGACAAAATTTATATTTTCAGAAACCTCGTACTCTCACGAGTCTAACCATATAAAAATCTCTCAAATCGGATGTGAAAAACCCAATCAAAACTCAATCTCTAGGTCTAAGAACTTTTCCCCCAATTTCTACCAAAATTCCAAAATTTAAGGATAATTTAAGGAAGGATTCATGGAAATTAGTCTAAACCAAGTAAGAATCACTTACCCAAGTTGCCCAGGTGAAAATCCCTTCAAAAATCGTGATCTCCCGAGCTCCCAAGTCCAAAATATGAGTTATGGTCTAAACCCTCGATTTTGGGTTTTAAATTCTGTCTGCCCAGGTATTGTTCAATGTGATCGCAAGGATTCATTTGCGATCGCGAAAAGTAAAAGTGAAAGGCTCCAGAAATAGCCTACGCGATCGCGATGTAACGAATGCGATCGCATAAGAGGAAAAATGAAGGCTGGGTTGGCCTATGCGAACGCAACAACTGGTATGCGATCGTGTAAGAGGGAAAAGCAA